ACAGCCGCGCCCGCAGCGGCTCCCCCGGCGCACAAAGGCAGGACTTGGAGTGAGGGGAAGAATGGGAGTCTGGCCGCGGCGGCTCCTCCACCGCTACGACCACGGATTGGAAGAAGCGGGGAGTTTTGGTGCCTGGAAAACTGGATTCTGAATCGTGAGAGGCTCTGAACCCACCCCCCCCTCCCCAAAATAAAACAAACCCCTTTGACTTCTTCTCTCAGCAGGAGGGGGAGGGAGGGCGGATTTACCATGAAGACAAATCGAAGATGCAGAGCCCTGCTAGCAGTGAGTCTGAATCTGATGGCTCTCCTCTTCTCTACAACAGCTTTTATCACGACCCACTGGTGTGAGGGCACACAGAGGGTCCCCAAGCCGAGCTGTGGCAAAGACAAGAAGACAAACTGCCTCAACTACAGCGGGAATGAGACTGCAAACGAGACAAACCAGAATGTGGTTCATTACAGCTGGGAGACGGGAGATGACCGCTTCCTTTTCAGGTATTTCCACACTGGGATCTGGTACTCCTGTGAGGAAAATATCAATGCTGCTGGTAAGTATAAAACAACTTCCTTCCAGCTTGTGTTGCTTTGTGTTTGCCTCAGTGTGATAAACACACGGGCAAGCTGTTCTGTGCTGTATCTTAAAGCAGGTTCACCCTGCAGAAAGAGCAGGATTTTTAACAGTTCCCTGTTGAAAAGCAACCTGTTTCCAGCCGGAGCAAGGATTTGCTTGTTTACCTGCTGCCTGATGCAGGGTCTGTGCTCTAAAGCCAGCCGAGCCTCCGCCGAGCGGGATGTGGCACCCTCATGGGCGCTGCGGCCGGGTCAGCGCTCCCCTCCTGGGGGCTGCTCCCTGGAGCGCACAGAGACACCCGGAGGTTCTCACATCTCATGGTAACTGCCCCTGAAATAACCCCGAGGGCAGTGGCCTGGATGATAGGGAAAGCACAAAGGTCACAGTTCTGACGATGCTGTAGCCTGGAGTGTCTCTTTGCTGGGATCCCTTAAGTAAAAGACCACCCACAACCCCCTCCTGGTGGCTGGGGTGGGTGTTTGTTGGAGAAGAGAAATGGCAGTTAAAGGGCACAGCTGGGCACAAGAAAGCTCATTTCTGTCCCCCCCCCTCAGCCACTTACTTGCTGAGAACCACTTGAGAAGACATCTCTCCAGCTTACCAGTGCATTCGTTTCCTCTGCTGTAGCCTGGCACTTACCAAGAAATAAAACACTGGAGGGTGGATGGAAGGTAGCAGCCATGGGACTGATTTAAGTCTCAAAAGACGCAAACTCACAGTCCCTACTCCCAGAGCTGTCTGGTAGAGCTAACATCTGAACTCTGCTTTTGAAAGAGCTTTTTTTTCCAGATTATGTGACTAGAAAATAAAGTTTACAGATGTGACACAGTATGAGATGAGAGGGGCTTATGGATACTGATTCCTCCTTGCCGGGCTGTTTCCATTCTGTCCTGCCATTGTCTAAGAGTAGGCTGGGGAGTTGGTCCCTCACCACTACTGGGAGAGAGGAACAGTTAATCATCCTGCATGTTGTGTCTCTGAGGACACAACCTCCCTGATAATGGGAAGTTTATGACATCTTGGCAAAACTGCTCTGGAAGGATGTGCTATAAAGCGGGGCAAACTTGAAGGGCAGCTCACAGTTCCGTTTCATCCCAAGGTGCTGTGAATACTCACTGATATTTTTGAGGAGAGTGCTTCCAGAATTAGTTGGTCATTAAAACTCCATTTAATGTATGAAAAGTTCATGAACTCCAACCTTGGGACTGTCAATAAACAGCTCCATGCTGAAATGAGGGCACCAAAGTAATCCTCGTGATGTTAGGAAAAAAAAAAAAAAGTAGAAAAAAGATTATTTGTCTTACTGATTTGAAGATAAACTTAGGCCACAGCAGCCTGAGTGAGCAGCTTAAGACTGTCGGACTTCTTGAGCATCTTAGCTGGGATTGGGACAATCAAGCATGCCCAAATTTCTGGCAGATATTGAAAGCTTTCCAAGCCAAGATTTATGTGTGAGATAAGTTGTAACTGTGTGACTCTAGCCCACTCAGAAAACTGACTTATCTGTGGGAGAAGAGAAATACAGTGATCTATTCTGT